TTTGTTTTCAGATAAAGTAAATTGCTTGCCAATTTCAAACCATTATCAGCTATCCCCTACAGATCCAGTCTCAGTGAGACTTCACTATACCCTCTAAATGTGTTTAATTAAACTTTCCAGCATACTCGATAAATTTGTGCATTTGGATTATAGGACTTTTAGTTCATATCTGAAACATTTAAAGATACCATAATCAGTACTGAATCCAAAATTTTCAAAATCTATATTTAGATAGATTCACACAAAGCTTTCTAGTAGCAAGTGGGTTGCCTTTTCTTGAATCTGTGATCATACAGTATTCCGGTGCTAAACATTCATTAAGGATTTTTGTGTTTGTCATACTCATTCAATTTACCATATATTTTAAAAATTATGTAAAACTTTTCATATCCCAGCATGATATTGAATCAAGTATTTGCTTGATTTGATTTAAGATGAATCGCCTTTAATGCAGTCTTAATCATTTATAATCAGGCGAGATAGAATGCTGAAAGAAGGAAATTTTGTGGAATGTTTCTTAGAAAGAAATCTAGTATTATGCAATTTAGAAATTGCAGTCTTTGTCAGTACATTTAATCACATGGAAATCAGTGGAGCTAATTTGAGAGAAATACTGAATGGAACTAAAGCTTAATGTAGTTGGATTTGATGTATTCATTGTGACATGCTGATTCATCACACAAGTGCATACAAAATCACAAGTATGTATTTAATTCAGAGGACTCTCCATGGAAATATTTTTACAGAACAAGAAGAAGACTGTAGGAGGACTTTGTAGTAAAGGACTTTAAATGTTAGGATAATATCACTCTCAATTATTACTGTCCTGAAATTTGAACACCTCCCATTGATGATTGATGATCATAATGTGTGTGTGTGTGTGTGTGTGTGTGTGTGTGTGTGTGTGTGTGTGTGTGTGTGTGTAGACGCATGCTTTTAAACATTACTTTAGAGGATTCTCATAGATTTATTCTGGATTAGGAAGTAGACCAACTGAAATAGATTAATAATAGCAAAATTACATTATTTGAGTTTAAGTAAGAGGACTTTGGACCCACCTCTTCCAAATTTAAAAGCATTTTTCTTCCCTTTTCTCCCACTAGCTTTTTCTCACATGCACATTTATTGTTAAGCAATTCATTATGTAGGTCTTTAATTTCTTTCATGGTTACTTTCATACAATAAAGCATTACAGTGCTTCTAGATCTTGATAGAATTTCTCCAGAAGGAGAAAGAAGCTTTGTGTTAGTAATTACCTAACATTGTTGGGAGCTGACTGCAGGCTTCTTCCCAGTGATAACAGAATAACCACATAATGCAGCTTCATAGTACATGATTAATAGAAAATAATTACACATCCTACAAAGGAATGCAATAATTCTTATAAATTGACTGGAATGGTTTCCTGCAGATTAAAGAATTCTTCATTATTTTATCAGTCTTTTTGAAGGTGAATCAATTGCCAAAGCTGTAAGAAAGAGCTGATGGGAAGAATACACAGTATATCTAGACGTATAGAAGAATTTTAAGATAATAGGCTTATCTATATCTGAATAGAATATAAATAAATAGGTTGTATGTGAGATTCGTACTATGTTTGTTATTCATTACAATTAAATATTTGACTCTTGAGGCTGCCTGATATTTAAATTCGAGCCCCACCCTAAGCATTTTATATTTTACAGTGATATAAGCAATTCATGATCTCTTAAATGAATTTAGTGCACTTAAGGAGCTGTTTCATAACATACATTATTTTGACTCTGAACATTAAATTGTAGTAAATGATGATATATTACTCTTGTTAGTATTCTGATTGTTCTTTAAAATATTAAATCAATATTTTAGACAAAAATTAATACTAATCTATGTCTGGCAATCTATATTTTGAACAGAGTATAAAATATTGAAATTGCAGTAATACTTGGGTTTTCTCTAGAGGTGACTGTTGAATTCTATTCATTTATATTTGTGTGTGTGTTCATACGCAGAACTAGCATATGACTCTGAGGGTAGCTACTAGCCAAAATCAGTTGCCTTTTATTGTTGCTGAAACTAATGTATCCATAAAGATGCTATAAAAGTATGGTCAAATTGATTTGTAAGTGCATACAAAAGTTAAACACATTCTAAGAAAGGGGTGTAAGCAAATTAACTAGTTAAAAATGTATGTCTCTGTAGTAATGGCAGTAACTAAGTCTAAAACATTACATTTCCAATATAACAGTTCATTTTTTTTCTTTCCTACCTGCTTATACTTCACATGCTTTAATTGGGATTCAGATTGCTTGTGGGGTTCATATCAAGAATAATAATGATAAAGTAAGATTTCAGTATCTGAACCCTATCCATAAATTAGCTTCTGATACTGTTACACTTCCATTACCGTAATATTTAAAATCAGACAAGTGCATTAAATTTAAATATTCTTAAATAGCAAGAGCCTTGGTAGTACAGTGGTTAATGCACCCTGTTATTAACACAGCTGCCTGCAATTACTGCAGGTTCGAATCTCACCAGGCTCAAGGTTGACTCAGCCTTCCATCCTTTCTAAGGTAGGTTAAATGAGGACCCAGTTTGTGGGGGCAATAAGCTGACTTTGTATAAATATACAAAAGTATGAAGGCTATTGCTTAACGCATTGTAAGCCGCCCTGAGTCTCCGGAGAAGGGCGGCATATAAATCAAATTTAAAAAAAAAAAAAAAGATGGTTTTTTTTAGGGGGGGGGTGAGTTTAGCATTTTAATTTGTGGCTCCTAGAGGTGGTTTTCCTATCACCTTCAGAATATGTGGTTTATAAGTTCCTGAAATGGAATATTTTCATTCTGTCATAAACAGTTTTAATTATCCCTTAAGTAAAAAAGCATTTTGCAGAACATAATGATTTCTCTCTGCCCTGTTCTCCAGCATACATTTACAAAAAAAAAGTTATTTTGGAAAGCTTCCTTGGCAAGATTCCTCTAGCACAGGTGAAGACTGGCATTATGAGTGATTACTTGCACTTTAAATCTGTAGAGAGGTAGCTTGTGTATTTAAGCAGGCTAATGTGGAATGAAACATGTGTTTATTAAACAAACACACACAGCTGGAATATCTGAACCCCCTGGTGAGACAGCAAGTACCTCTTTGCCTTTAAGGGCTTTGGCCTCAGAACTATCAGTCCAGCAAGAGTCATTCTTACTGTAGCTGGTAAGCAAGCTTGCTTGCTGAATTGCACTGGTGAACTGGTATCATGTATAGCCATGGGAGAATAAAGAAGTCAAGAGTTTTTCTTTGGAGCTGCTCTTTTATCCTGATGGCAAATGAGGTAAAAGCAGAACTTGGTGACGTGATTTATTAGTTAAATGAATGTATAAAGATCTGCCTAGTGGCTTTTAATATCGCAACTTTATAGAAGCCCTAACTTTCCCCAGTACACAGAATTGTCTTCATTACCAAAACTAAAGCAAAAATTTCTGCTACTTTATGTTACAGCATAATCTGGAGAAACCTTCTCCTCAATGTTTGTGCCAAATGAGAAAGTAAGGTGGACTTGAGATGGAAGGGAGATATGGAGGGACAGCTTCAGGAAGAAAGGCAAATTTGGAGTTATGAACAACTGGGTTAATGGATAGGAGTAGATAGGAAACAAATGTGAACGGATGATAGCAGGGCATACAAAGCATATATGAGCTGTTAATAAATTAGGGTTAATAGATCTGGTACAAGTTAATCAGATCATTTGAAAAAAGCCCTGGAAGGGATGGAAGTAATTTTGGTACCTTGCTGTTTCCCTAAATGCTATGGAAGGACAGATGAATTTTGCACCCCATATAATGCCTAAATTCCATCAGAACCCATTAGTGCTTAGCTTCAGGTAAAAGCAGACTAACCACTGTAGCAGAATTCTCTCTAGTCTGTTCTATTTTCCTTGGGTTTTTTAAAAACAGTTTACCATCAGTCTATCTTTTGAACAAGGAATCTGTTTTCTTCTGTTTCCTTTGGCACATACTTTACTGGAATCCATTTTCAATTGCTGAAAGTTATTGAGCTCCTGTTAGTATTAATCATAACAATATTTACTTCAAGGGACAAAAGACAATTAAATTTGGATCTCTGTAACTTGGTATTGCTTTCGGAAAAGATTGTTTCTTAAACTTTCATATACTTGATTTGGATTCATCTTGCTAAGCCTAAACAAAATTGAAAGCAAAATGCATTTAATTATTTGTCAGGTTCATAAGATTTTTGATAAAAGTTTAGGGCAGGAAACATTGGCTAACACAGAGAAGGGGTAATGATATGCAGTTCTTATATGTGAATTTACCAAAAATTTAACATAAGATCTTTTTCAACTCTATTAAACTATTTTTGAGTTGGTACCAGATACTCATTTTTAATGAAATACTGTGTATTTGTGTGTCTTTGTGTATTTACAGTAATAGAGAAGTATGTTTCTATTAGTGGGAACCAAACAGAATAGAGACAAAGAAAGATGAGTCCAATTTGAACACTTCTGAAAAATGCCTCAATAATGTGCACTTTTTAAAAAATTAAAAAGCAGCATTACAAGGAAGATTGCACCAGTTACCTACAACTGGAAAAATATTTCCGATTGAACATGTTTAAAAGATACAGGGTTTATTTTTCTTTTTTAAAAAAGTGTTTATCACCAAATTAGGAAATACGTACAAAACAGATGATGATATAATCACATTCTTGTCTCATGAGTATATATGGCTTGCAAGACCCATAGGTAAATAAATAGGTTTTTAAAATCTTTTTTCAGACATAGAAACAGATGCCTAGCCATTTAAAAAGTAATTTCCTGTCTTGGCCCTAACTGCATTTCAAGTGCTTGAGAAAGTCATGCGTACAACATTCATACACTCTTCCTTAACATTTTAATTTTCCATTCATGCTCTTATAGCTGTATATAAGGAGGAAACTTGAGTCATATGCAAAACTCTGTTGCATTCATATCAGACTAAAGGTTAATACTGCATATTGTTTTCAATTAGGAGTACAATAGATTTGGCTGGTGGGTAGGAGAAATGAAAGGAACCATTGGCTTAGTGCCTAAAGCCTACATAATGGAGATGTATGATATTTGAGAGGCAACAGTAAGTACATTTTAATTCAATTTTCTGTAATGGTTTATATGTTCTTTTACTCTTTTTTGTACAGGTTTCTTTTCCTGGAACCTTTAATGTATTTCTTGGGATGGGAGGAGAAAAAGGATCTGTAATTTTACATCAAATAAATAATGTGTTTCTAGAAATAGGAAAAATGTTCTCCATTATCCCATGTCCATCACACCAATATTGTGACCATCACACCAATATTTGACCTTCATTTTATTATAATTAAAGAGTACCAGGAATAGAGTATTTAGAACATTGACCAGGACATGTAAGCAATTTTATTTTGCAAAATGATTCCAGTTCTTTCCCCTCTTCATAGTCTAAACATAGAGATTAGGAAAGGTGAGCACAAACCTTTCCCTCATTTTTTTCATACAGACTATTGTCTTTTTAAAACTACAGTAATACCAAAACTAACAGTCTGAGCTGTCATTTGAGTTGTTTAATTAATACATGATTCTGCAATGGCAAGGGAAAGGGTGGGTTTAGAAACCTGATCATTTGTGGTACTCTCTAGTCATGTTATGCTTGCAAACTACCTGACTGAATAGTTATTATTAACAGGGCTCCAAGAAAAATCATACAGTTCAAATGTTATATCTGCCTGTGTTCTAAAACTTGCTTTATTGCAAATTTTGAACATGGTTCAGAAGTCTTTTTAAAGACCTTTCATTGGGAAAGATTTGAAATTCAAAATATTTCATATAGCCTGGCCTATTTTTATTTTGTCCAGGGTATCCTCAAATTTGGCTCTGTTTAGCAGCTTCTTTTCCTATAGATATATTTTGCATTTAGCTATTTTAATAACAATAACCTATCTGCACCTAACATTAGAGGTGTGCAGTTCTCCAAATACAGACATGCCAATGAGGTGTTCCTATAGGAGGTCCATGCAGCTGCTTAGCAGCGATATCTTTTCTGAGAATGTGGGAGTTTTTAACAGCTGCAGTATAGTCCTTGCAAAAGAGAGATCCTGCAGACCGACAGGTGTTATATGTCCATATCTGTGTTTGTTCCAAATATTTTTTTAGAAATCTGCCATACGGCATACCCTTCTTCAATATAAATGTCAGGTGTTGATGTTATAATTGTACTCCTGTTTGCCCAAATTTCTTACGCTATCAATGATCTAAATAGGTTCCAGACCATATGGATAAAGGTGGTAGCGCCACATGATGTTTTCAAGTGTTTGCTTACATAACAAAATGTTTTAAAATTAATTTAAGAAAATTAAATTAATTAAATTGTTTTGATTCATAAACTCTTGTCCCCCTCCCCAGCTTTTTAAAAAATTGACATTGCAAGCCGAGAAGAATTAGGTACCAGAATTTTTTGTTCACTTTTGCAGTCTTCATTTAGTTCAGACATGGGATTCATTGCTTAATTATCAAAATAAAGCTAATAAATTGAAATCTTGTAAAGATGTTGTTCTACAGTAATAGGATAAGATTCAGTCATTTGTAACATGAAATTGCTACATTATGTTGTTGCTGTAGTGTCCACCAATGCAAGGGACTAAGGGATTTTCTGTTCTGATTAATTACTGGGGGAAATGAGCAAAACTTAACCCTGGAAGAGTTTTGTGTGGTGCATGGAGTGTTCCTATTTGACTAAAAATGAGAGTATATAGGGCTTGTCGGGTGCATTAAACACGTCTCCTGTTATTGCCTTAAAATTTGTGAACTGCAGACAACTGACCAAGACTAAAGATATTCTGTGGTTATTTTTATTGATCAGGGAAGTATTTTTAGACAAGCCTTCTTTTTTTCTAAGATGCATTAAAGTTGTAGTTGAGGGACACTCATATTCATTGTGGTGGGGTAGCAATGTAATGAATAAAGAAATTTCCAGTGTGGTATCTTGACTTGTACTTTTTCCATGTAGTGGAAAATCATATTCCAAAATTATTTAGTGGCCTTAAGGTTAAGAAAATATGGAGTTAAGAATTTCTTATGGTTTAAGTATATTCTACCTTTTTGTATTTGTAACTATAGTGGGTTTTTTTTCCTTCCCTTGTTTTCCAGCCAGTCTGATTCTGCAAACTGCAAGCCAACTGTGAAGAGGTTACAGAGATCTACATGAACTTAAAGACTGGGAAGATATAGACATTTTTACTTTGGTTTTTGCTATTTGCTTTGACACTCTTTGTTGTGGTATACAATTATTTAGGGTTGTATTTATTACTCACTTGGTAAATGAGCATAACCTGATTATATGCACTTGAAATTTAATGGAAGAAAGCTGCAATAAATTTTTGATGATCAGCCTAATTAATTTCAATATGTGCAACACAGCAGATCTTTGCAAGATTTTATGCCTCTTCTTGACATAAATGATACATGGCAATGGATCCTTCCTGTAAACATTGCTATGATTTGCTTTTTCTTAACTGAAAAGGAAAAGTCTTTTCCTTCGTTTGCATTTTAATCTTAAACAGTGTGTGTGTGTGTGTGTGTGTGTTTGTGTTCGGAGGTTTTCGCGGGTGTTTGTAGGTCTTTGGTTATTCGGCTTTTCTCCCGCGTAAAGTTGGAAGTGTCTTGGCGACATTTCGATGAAGTCTCATTCGTCATCTTCAGGCTGGTGTTTTCGGCTCCGTGCTCTTAGAAAACACCAGCCTGAAGATGACGAATGAGACTTCGTTGAAACGTCGCCAAGACACTTCCAATTTTACGCGGGAGAAAACCTGAATAACCAAAGACATACATACATACATACAGACAGACATACATACATACATACATACATACATACATATATATATATATATATATATGGCACTGTGATAGCATATTGAAATATATATCTGTTTTTAATTATTTAAAGAAGGTGTACATATTATAGCATCAGTACATTTTTTTTCTTAGCAGAGCTTTTGAGAATTTAAGTGCTTCTTCCAAAAACTTGTATGACTATTAACTCTGCTTGATTAATGGCTACTTCTACATAGCTCTGTCGTTGGTTTTTGCTTCAGTTGCTTCACAGCTTGCTTCTTAGAAGAAAGTTGTCAGGCAATTGAAGCAAAAACCAACGATTATATGGAATGATCAACAATAATAGAAATTATATTAGGCTGCTAAGTCATTAATATATTTGATAAGTCCAGTATAAAATGCTAAACAAAATCCATCTTTTGACTTTATTCTATTTATTCCAAAATTCCTCATGTTTCTTTTCCTATATAGAGCAAGAGACATGTTGATCCACAAGCCATTACAATGGTCCGAATTATCTTTGTTTGCTTATAATAACAAATTATGAGATAGGAAAATTAATTGATATTCGGGTAACTTGTATTTGTATTCTCTTTCTATATTTTGGCTGAATCCTGGCATCACTTCCATCCGTATGCTCAAATTCTGCAGGTATCATGCTCCTAATCTCTTTTCCAGATTAACATAGGTAGTATTTTGATGAAGTTTCACTAACTTAAAATATTTTTCTGAAGTTCCATTGTGCTATCTCATAAAAGCAGGACCAGGAAGGTTCAATGTTAAGATTTATTATTTTGTGGGACAAAGGCCATAAATTTCAGAAAAATATGTATTGAGAGCATAACTCAATGTGATTTGCTATATTTCCTGTTTCTAAATTAATGGTGGCCAAAGACCAAGTTTAGACAGAATTCCTCTAAAATTAATATAGCTCAAAATAGAAAATGCTCATAAATTGAAAAATTAAATTGCTTTAAAAGGATTCGCCTGTTTCTGTCTATCTTTCTAGTTATCTTTTACTATGCATACATGCAAATAGTTTATCACGTAGTGAAGCTATTAATTTTCTGCATATAATTCCCTAAATATATATTTTTTAAAAATAAAAGTCATAGAAAGCTATTACGATAAGAAGGTTAATTGACTAAGTTGGAAATAAAGTCCCATTGCAATCAGAGGGACCTAAATGAATCTAATGTAGATTGTGATTTTATATGCAGGAAATAAATTTTGTCTGCTTTTGAAGAAATGTGTAAAAGGCTCCAACATTAAGTCTTTATCCAGTGCTGTCTACCCTAACCCATCACAGAGAAGCATTCAAACAAATCTCCCTCATTGCATTCTGAAATGGTATAATCCAAGAGCAGTTTTACCATGTGATTAATGATTCCTGCTATGCATCAAGGCATAAAAGCCTCTTTCAGTTGCAATGTTTATCTCCTGTTTTATTATGTGTTTGTTTTTTATAAATTCCATTGAAGACTATTGACTAGACTGTTATTTTAAGAAAATTCATTGGTGAATGAAGAATTCTTTAGAAGTATTAATCATTCTTCAAGTTTATGGATATGACCTGACATGCCTGAGATGCAACGATTGTTAACAAATCAGGAATTATATCACTGTTCCAAAACATGTCTTAGTGCGAGAAATAATGCTAATCCTTTGTATTACCAATGTTAGCCAGAAGATGGCAGTAGACTTTCACGACACATGCTGGTGAGGAACCCATCCCCCAGCCGCTTTTTTTGGTGTTCAAATGAATTTTTTGCAACTTAAAATATTTGGAGAATTTCCTTCCCTTTTTCATGTTAATCCAGGAGAGGGAGTCCTTAGCCAACTGATCAATGACAGACCCTTCAAATATTTTTTGCTATTGATTGGATGATGTAGGCAGCAGTAACTATATTGTTCTCTTAACCTTTCTTTCATGTACAACACAGCTGATGTTAACAAACACACCATTCACAGTGCAGATATTTCAAAGGTACTATATTCATATCTTTTAACTAGACATATTGTACTCTAAACCAGTAAAAAGAAAAGGGTGAGCATATTTGTTTATGAAGGCTTGACAAATGCCATAACCTGGGGGAAGGGAAAGGAGAGGCTGGAAAAAAAAATCCCCATTAATGTGAACCATTTGGCAATATATGCTAATTGGTTTGTTCCCATTATTTACTTATATTTCCTTGTGTTCCTTTGCAAACGGGTTATTTTTTAAATCATATTTTATATAATATCTTGCTTATTTTCTCTGTACTATATTTGTACTACACTGGCATTAGATCCTAGAATAACATTCCATGCTGCAAATTTTTAAGGTTCAAATAAAGTTTAATTGTTTGCAAACTGTTATGATGCTAATAATTCAATAGCCTGCTGGGTTACTAATGAAATTACTTTGTTATGATTAATTTGGAAAATAGTGTGTTGATTGTAGTAATTAAACACAACAAGGTGAAGTAAATGATTCTAATGCCATCTGGCCTCCAAAATGAATGAAGAAACGAAATGGAGCTGTCATCTGAATTTATTCAGAGACGTAAGGGTAATACAGATGCTCTCCTGTGCAGAGATGCCAGGATGTACTCATGTTAGCTTGTACAGTGATTTCATACACATATGCATATGGTTATTCATTTGATTGTGTGGTTTATGTCCCAGTTCTTTTCTTCTATAGTAGCCATCCATGGCCCCGGAGCACTCATGGAGTGAGAGCACGTCTGGAAGAAGCAACAGGTTGGGAATTATGTTCATAGCATCTGCATTTCCAGTTGCTATGAATGGGCATAAGTTTTCAGGCAAAACATGAATGGCTTATGTGTATCTAATCTACTGCTGTGTTTATGGTGCAAGAAAGATACACTTCTTGAGCTATGTATTTGTTGGTATGTATCATATTTATTAATGCTTGGAACTGAACATATTCTTGTAATTGCAACCTTAGGGCACTATTTCTAATGATAAACCAGTGGAATAAAAACAATATGATATCATGCTTGTACTGTATAGTATACTCAGGCAGACCGGTATTAGGAAAATAGAATAGCTCAGCATAATTAGATGCCCAAGAATTATTATCCCACCACTTTTACATTCTTCAAAGGAAACACATCCCATCAAACATGTTGGGATAATCTAAACAGCAACAGGTAATTATTGATTTACAACTTCATTTAGTTACCGTTTGAAGTTACAGCTACATTTAAAAAAGGAATTTACAACCGATCCTCACACTTAGAACCATTGTAGCATCTCCATAATCATGTAATCAAAATTCAGGAAACTGGCAACTGGCATGTATTTATGATGGTTACAGCATCCTAGGATCACATAATTGCCATTTGTGACCTTTCCAGCTGGCTTCTAACAAGTTAAATCAATGGTGAAATCTGGACCCATGTAACAATCACATGACTCACTTAACAACTGCAGCAATTTGCTTAACAATCATGGCAAAAAAGTTTTTAAATCTGGCACAACTCCCTTAGCAACTGCCTTACTTAACAACAAACTGTTTGATCCCAATTGTTGTAAATTGAGTAGTAGCTCTAGTGGATAAATTTGGGAGAGGATTGATTCCCACTAAATTTGGGTGGAATTTATCTCCACAGTTAAAATCCATAGGATCAAATATTTTCTGAGACAGATTTAAAATAAGAATCCATTTCCTTAAAAAAAAAAAAGTATCCTAAAACCGACAGACCTATCAGCTTGACATCATTACTTGGTAAGATTCTGGAAAAGATAATCAAGCAATGAATCTGCAAAAACCTAGAGCAAAGAGTTATAACCAAAAGCCAAAGTGGGCTTGTCAAAAACAGATAATACCAGACAAATCTTATATTTTTTGACAAAATGATAAAATTAGTGGACCATAGAAATGTTGTGAATATAATTTACTTAGACTTCAGTAAGGCATTTGATAAAGTTAACCACAACCTACTATTTGATAGAAAAATATGGGTTAGATATCACCAGATGGCTTACCAACCGCACTCAACACATAGTCCTTAATGAAATTGCTTCTCCATGGAGGAAAGTATGCAGTGGGGTACCCCAAGGCTCTGTCTTAGGCCCAGTAATCTTCAGTATCTTCAATGATTTAGATGAGAGACTAGAAGGGGAACTCATCATATTTGCAGATGACACCAAGCTGACAGTAATTGCCAATACTCCAGAAGATAGTCTAAAGATATAGAAGGACCTTAACAGATGTGAACACTGGGCTCTTTCTAACAAAATGAAAAATAAAATTTAACATTTATACAAGAAAAACCAAATGCACACATATAGAATAGGTGATACCTGGTTCAATAGTAGTAAATTGTGAGTGGGATCTTAGAGTCCTAGTGGAGAATCATTTATATATGAGCTAGCAGTGTGCTGCAGCTGCCAAAGAAACCAACACAATTCTACACTGCATTAATAGAGGGATAGAATCAAGTTCACCTGAAGTTTTAATACCACTTTATAATGCCTTGGGAAGACTAACTTAGAATATTGCATCCAGTTCTGATTGCGACAATATAAAAAAAGATATTGAGACTCCAGAG